TCGGCTGAGCTCGAAGCGTGCTGTGGCCGATCGCATCTGGGTTCCTCTCGTCTGGCCTCTTTGACGCGGCGTACCAATCCGGCCCAGACGATCTCAATTGAGAATCCCGTATACAATGCCATTTGCAAGCCAGTCCTGTCTGACCCACATTCGTACCCATCGAGGCGGACACTTATTGATACCCTGACGATGACCGAAAACATTCCGTTATATACCGCCACCTACAGGCCAGTCCTGCTCTCTTTTTTCCGTTATTATTTTTAAAGAGGGGTTTTTTCTCCTGTAAAGTTAATCCAATCATTTTTATCTTTTTCCAAGGAGTTTTTTTGACCCCTCAATCATCATGTTTCTCAATGGACTTCTAATTCAGAAACTATGAATTGCATTTTGTAAAGATTCAGCCTACCTCGCATGCAAATTTATTTTAACTTGCTTTGATGGGACCCCGACGGGTCTTTAATAAAAATTATCTATCTATCTATCTACTTTACATATGTTACCTGTGTACGGAGGTTTTCCTTCTATCTTCGTGCTCGTTAGTTGGACCAATGGCCTGCCAATGATTTTCCAATAAATCCTCGATTCACGACGCAAGGCTTGCAGTTTGCTGTGGATATATGTCCATGTTTCGAGTCAGGAAGATTCTGTGCGATCGTATGAGGGGATTGAAAACTGCCTGTATAATTACGATTTACGCCTTGAATACTTAGTTTATTTTAGAAATCCACTGAAGTGCGTTGTGAGGTGATATAGGAATTCCGCAAACTGTGTCCGTCGTCCGCAAAGCTACTACTAGTGCCGTTAGTTTAGCGTCATCGGAGCAATGCGCACAAACTGTTGCATTGTTCTTCCGTTTACTCTGGCCGACCGCGAACATCCCCTTTCTAAGAGGCCATGCTGTTGGCACGAAAAGTGATTTCCCATGTATTGTAACGCACAGCGGTGGAATTTGGGGACTTGGCTCACTCGATCCTTTAGCAACCAAGGCACAGCTGATTCCGTGTCTCGCTACCGTGCGTTGACTTTCATTTTGAACTGATCCCTACTTGACTGCCCTCGTTTAAGTCATGGCATCGGGAGGTGAGCAGTAGCATTGTGCTCATAAACAGCCGACTAAGAGCGTTCATAAACCACCTCATTCGTACTTCTTGGACGCCCTGGCACAAACTCGTGTTATTGCTGCGGCGAGTACAAAATCAATCGCTGAAAAAAATCAGTTTACGTAGTTCGAAGCATATCTACCTGGTGTGAGCGAGAGTTACATACGTTTTTTACTCATTTTCTCTCTTCATTCATAATCATAAAGGACAACTACCCATTTATTGTCTGAGTCATCTGGCAACAAAGTGTAACAGCTGTTTCAGACGTCCTCCGTTGAATGTTGCTATTTCAGACCAACCTCAGTCCACACACGTTTCGTTCGCTAATGGCAAAGTGCGAGATCTGCGTAACTGCCAAGTTCCCCAGTTAGTTGATTTGATTGCAAGAGATCCGTTTCGCGTCAGGTATGATTGAGTAAAATGTTGGTATTTGCCACGGTGTCGGATAAGCCAACAAACCTCGCAATCCCGTTAACTCTAAATAATATTTTATGTTAGTCATCTAAGTCTTATGCTGGCAGTGTTGATTCGTCGGTGTGGTCACGGTCTTTCGGTCGCCGTGCTCGTGGGAATGTGATACCGATAACATCGTGCACAGATGATTCATCCTCTGATATGGCTGGGAGAGAGTCGCAGCAAAATACTGTCCTTTTGAACGACAGATCGAGTGGCAAAGGGCTGGGGCGACGTTTACATACAGAAACTCTTGCAGCATTGGGGCAGCAGTGGGCCTAATTTGTGGTGACAAATTTACATGCGCTCCATCCAGCATCCTTATTAGCCAAGATGTTTATGATGGATGGAATCAAATTCCGCAGTGAAGTTAGTGGAGAAGATGGCCGTCAGATATTGACATCCGACAGCATTTAAGGGATCTATGGAAGTGCATTTGTTTTAGCTGAGCATCTATGTGCATTCTCAAGTCCGACTTCATTTTGTCCTGTCCTGATCGCGCGCACTTGAATTAGCCTGAAATAAGAGGGTACGGGGCAGCAGTGTCAACGATGCCTATGATAAGAGAGTTTTCGTACATTGCCACACATATCATTTTTCTACACAAGCATATAAGTGCCCAGTTGAAGCCAATAGAAAAAATTCCACTTTTTTTTCTGTTCAGTCCTCTCATGAGGCTATAGCTCTGAAATGTGCACATAGGGCGCTTGGAAGTTAACGAAAATTCCGCCTCTCGCGGATAAATTGTCATGGAAATCCTTGGGGCATGAGTTATCATTTCTTCCTGTCGGAAGGTTGAGGTCCTATGGGAAAGCAAGAATACTGTGGAAACTGAAGACGTCCGCAAGCCCCTCTTAAGAAAACCAAAGTGGTGATAGAATGACCGTCAAAACTAAGAAGGCGATCGATATGATTGCATTAGGATGTAACTTGTTGGAGTTACCCTTTGTCACCAGCACTTCTTATCTAATGCATTAAGATCGCTACTTCAAACTGACAATTTCTGCCTTTAATTCAGGCGACCTCATCGTACTTTCCGGAGTTTCTTTATAAGAAAAGTCATTGTGGGACTAAATCTAAGTATTTAAGAGTCGCGGAAATTCCCATAGCAGTAATCAGAAGACCAGGTGGCGAGCATATGTAGCTTTCGATAAATTCTCGACGACTCAGTACAATTATATAGAATAATTTAGAATAGGTTTATTATAGCGTCCCCTTTACAGCTGTCTGTCTTCCTTGAACACAGGATGAAACCTAAAACAAACTCATCCACTTTGACTGCACTTTAACTTCGTTTGTTTTGGGTGTCTGTTTAGCGAATAGAGCGCAAATTGAGAGTTTTCTAAGTTAAAAAAACCCTGAGTTCCAAGGGAAAATAATTGCAAAGTTTTAAGAAAGAAGTATATGTACAATAGAAAAATTGAAATTTACAGTTTGGTAGTTTATGGAGGGTGGGGGCATGAATAATATGTCCTTCATGGAAATTGAAGAACTTTGATACCGGCCGGAACTTGAAAGGGAAGGGGTAGAAGTAAAAACACGTCAGTGATAAGGTGAATGTATTAAAGTTCGCCCTATAACATGGGCTGGGTGTGGGAATGTGGGGGAGGAGGGGGGAAGAGCTAATAGCAGTCAGTGTCAGGGGCGGGGTGAGAGCGGAAGGGCACGGGGGAGTTGTAGCGTTAGTCGACATTCAACCACTGTAGGCGCGGTGTCTGAACGCGGTTCTTCTGTGCGCACAAGATTGGTTTTCGCAACCTGATGGTGGCCGCCTCTGCCTTTGCTAACAGGCGCTGTACCAGTGGTTTGGGATAGATCGATGGGGCCTTATACATAGCTCGAAACGATTCACTGGAGTTTGGACATCATGTGGACCCCAATGAAACGTTTCGCGTATGCGTCGTGAATATTCCTCAGTATACGGTAGCATGGCAAGCGCATCCTATAAATACTGCAGTCCCATACGCATTAACCACACTTATCTGCTTTTGCCTCTGATAATCGGTTCGATCAGGAATCCGAAACGCCAGGCTAATAAAGCACCTGTCCCGGCGATCGTGTCTCCTTCTTCAAGACTGCTTCCTGCGACTCGTCTCTTCGCTTATATTGAAAGCTTCGTACGCTCGCCACCTCGTCTTCTGATATTTAGTTTTATTATCAGATGACTTGAAGGTCCTAAAGTCTATCTTGTCATTGAAGGGCTGCAATAGAAATCCAAAAATCCTTATAACTGCCTTGCGAACTGGGGACCTCAACGCTACCATCATCTTATTATACAGAGACTGCCAAGAGAGACCAGGGTTCTCTATTTAGAACACAAGCTGTGTTACTGTGTCGCATTACTGCAGTGTCAAAGGCTCTTAAGAGTAACATTTTAACCGAAGGACAGGTCAATTTTAGGGTGTGCACGAACGAGGTCGTGCGGTGACACCTGGGCCACAGTAGTTTTGGCGACGATAAGCCAATTTTTATGATTTGAACTGGATAGGATGAAATCAGTTCTGGCTTCCAAGCATAAAATAAAACTGCCTTATTAACACATGTTAACAACCACGATGGAGTAAGCTGTTTAGACCGCCGGTAGGTTTAGTCTGAAAGTTCTAGTGCGGTTTGACATCTCCATAACGAATTTCAAGCTGAAGATGGTCAATAAGGCGGGTAGTTGGAGTTGATTATTTCAGTTTTGTAATCCTAATTGCCGATGACTGAGAGCAGATAGTGGCGCAGTGGCCATTTGTTCGTACTAACAGCTACCCGTATATAGTTTTATTATGTTATTGAATTATAAATATAGTTAAAATATACTCATAATAGGGGATGAATTTAAATTTTTTTACCACAAGTCGTACCTATGCTAACTCATCTTTAGATGCCTTGCACGCGAAATAAACACGACTTCCCTATTCTAAGAGTAATTGTCACACACTGACGACTAAGTAAGTTACACAGACCGACAACTCCGTCGCTGGCAGCTTGGTTTTTCGAGAGGTGGGGTTGAGAATTCGAACATCCCGCAGATCCCATATTTATTGCGATGCTGGAGGCTGAGCGCAGTCAAACGTTTGGTACAATGTTGAGGTACCTTTGCACATTACAGAACGTAGGAAAGGAAGCGACTTAGGAATCGGGCTTTATGTACCCTGCACTTTGAGTTAACAGTTGACAATTTTCATAATGGTTACACGCCAATCAGCGGCATGGGCGATAGCCTCAGTAATCACATGCGCGTGGATCCGACGGTGAAAGCCTTTTTTGATGCTGTGTCCGCTGGAAGTAACGAAATCGATGGCTTTTTGCAAACTCCGAACATTGCAAAGCGTTTGTTAGTTGACTCTCGGCGGCCAAGTTGTCCCGGGGGAGACACGGTTCTTCATATCGCAGCCAGGAGTGGAAATATGCCAGTTCTTGCATTGGCTGTCGAGGCTGGTGCCGATATTGAAGCAGTGAATGCTTCTGGAAAACGTCCTTTTCATGAAGCAGCTCAGTGTGGGCATCTTGAATGTACAAACTTTTTGATAGAAAACGGGGCAAATGTTAACGCGTTAAAGCGTGGCGACTGGACACCTTTAATGTTAACGGTGGCTTCATGCGTCTCTGGTTCTACCTCTTTTCCAAAAGTAAATCAGCACTTGGAGATTTTGCGGTTGCTGCTAAAGCATGGAGCCGACGTTTCTGCCGTCAATAAGGATGGGTGGAATTGTCTTCATGTTCGTTCATTCTTTAGCTGTCCTTTTGCTTCTAATGTTCACGTTTGTACTGCGAAAAAGTTATATGTAGTTTTAATGCTGCTGGCATGTGTAACCAGACCTATTTAATCAGGAAAAGAAAGCATCGTCAAACCCGTGTAAATGGTCTAGTGACCACTTCGTGCTTCATTCTGCAGCTTTCTGGCCTTATTTTTGGTCTGAACAGTAGTAGCTCATAACTTCTAACCCTAATAGCAAAAATTGGCGTTTCGAGCTCGCGAATGTACGCGTTAGCGCCCCCAACCCTATCTGCGATTTGATTGGTCGATACGTGCGTCTCGTTAGCACTGCCAGTGGCGCAGTCGGCGGCGTGCACTGACGCATGAAAATCGATATCAACCGGTGCACCCGATGCTCGACCGGGCTCAGGCAGTCCCGGCGCGCCACTTCCTGCTCTGCCACCTTGCCGTGCGCACGCTCAGTTTGGCCTACATCGTTTTCGTGCTTTCCTGGCCCTGCCCTCTAACTGTTTTTCTTTTTTTGTGTCTATTATGTGGAAGGGTACGGAACTGCAGACGATGGGTACCTTACTGTAGACGCATATTGCGAATGTTTGTAGAGAAGTATGCAGTCCTTTATGGGAAAGGAGAAATGGTGTACAATGTTCACAGCATTCTGCACCTACCGGATGATGTCTTACGACATGGTCCATTAGATAGCTTCTCATCGTTTCCTTTCGAAAGTTACCTAGGTAGTCTCAAACGGTTGCTAAGGAAGCCGTCACAACCGTTGCAGCAAGTAGTGCGTCGATTAGCTGAGCAACAGAGTGTAAGACGTGATATCTGCATTCCAACAGAATGGACATGTAGGCATCAACATTCCGAAGGTCCACTGCCATCCACTGATGGATCGGCTACGCAGTATAAACTTATACAAAAAGGCAACTTGGTCATTGGCACAGAGCCCTCGGATGGTTCTGTCGCAATTGACGGAAAGTTAGTCAGTATCAAAAATATTGTACAGGACCCATCAGGTCAATTGCAAATAGTTTACGTCAACTATTGTGCAATAGAAGACCACTTCGATTATCCCATTAGGTCCTCAGCCGTTAATGTTTTCAAGGCTAGGTTAGACACCGATATTCACAACCTTATAAGGTTTTCCGGCAGAAACCTTAAGGCCACCTGTACCTCCTTGTTGCGAATTTAGTGAATATTTTTGTAGCTTTTTACTTATTTCATCTGTACACATTTTTCTATGCTAGGCATGTGTGCCGTACACAACAAGTATTCGTTAACAGAGGTATTATTTTTCTGTGGAATTACTTGCAAATTTCACCCAGATCTAGTCTCATATTACGTTCATTTTTTCCACATAGCTTGCTAGCAGGGGCGGTGTTGAGACAATTATTTATGAGTTAACTGCATTTTGTGCGGCTTTGGTTTCTGGAACGACGAACAATGGTCGCACTCCATTGCATTGCTTAGCTCTCTCAAAATCTGTCCAACCGGCCGCAAGCGCTCGGATCGCACACAACTTCCTCCTCCAGGACAGCCGGCTGTTATACTCTGCTGATGCTTGTGGTTGCCTTCCCATTATGGATGCCCTACGCCAGGGAAATTTACAACTAGCTCGTTACCTTTTGGACGAGTCAGTAGACTCCCCGGCAGTTTTGCTCCTTCGGGACAAACTGGGCTTTCAGGCCATTCACATAGCAGCCGAAGCTGGCCAAGTGAGTAATTACCATATTTTAAACCATGCAGTCTTTTGCGTAACTGTGGAGGTAAAATTTTCTGATGTGTTTTCTATGATGTTCCGTCTACTCTGGTTCATGGATTTAGTGTTGACTTGATGATAGATATTAGTGTCTTGAAGACTGCGCCCAGTTTTTCTTTCGCATACCTCAGATACTTGTTGGGCCCCTAAAACAGTTTCATATTTGGTGACAATGCTCCCCACGTTGTAAGTGGGTACCTTCTGCGTTAAAATGAAGTGATAGTGAGATATTTTACTGGCAGCATCCTTTTATTAGATCAATGACGATTTTGCACCTATCTCATTTCCACTCACAACTCGAATCTAGTCAGAAGACGACTTCGATCGGCAGCCGCGGAGTCACTTCGATATCTGCTCGCCCGCCGGACGGGATGATCGGGAATGTAACCATACACGCATTATGGACTGGAATTAGCTAATATGTGTTGCATTTTATACACGAATGTGTAAAACACTTTTGTTAACATGAGGAAGTTTTGTGAGAAGAGGCATGACCTCTCAACTGTTGAATGATCGACCATTTCATGTCTCCCTTTGTTCATTCTTCTGTTAACCAAAACAGTTGCCACCTCACAACCAGGTTCCATTTCATATTTTCATGCATGCCACAGATGCAGAGGCGCGGTATGCCCCCTATTCGGTTCTCAACTGACCTCTTTGGTGCCTTCTTCTCAGGTCGAAAGTGTTCAGTTTGTGTTTGATGCTGCCGGCAAGGAGAGCGCCGTATCTGTAACTATCGCCGAAGGTGGTCCCAGCCTCAGTCCGCTGCATTTGGCATGTCGGGAGGGTCACCCGGAGGTGATAAACCTCTTGACTGACGCCATTTGTAACCTCTCAACCGACACTCCATACCTTTTCCTGCTGCCTCTTGATGGTAATGGCCGCTCGCCGCTCTACTACGCGGCCAGTGGCGCCGCAGGTGTTGGATTCGTTGGTCTTCGTCGCCGTTTAACTTGTTTCAAGGACCTTGTCAGCGCAGTCGTCAATCTTCTTTGCAGACTGTCTGAACCACTAAAGACAACATTGAAGCGACGACTTGAGTCCTCCCTGATTGAAGCTGAGTCACTTGGCATTACGGAATTCACGAACCTTGTGGGTGTCATTAGAAGCGAACTTATTAATACAACTAACTCTGGTTAACAAGGCGTCCAATTTTCCCCTTAAAATGCGATTACGCTCATCTTCGCAATCTATATGTTCAACCTCCTTAGCTCTTCGGAATCCTTTTCACTCAGGGACATCACTGGTTCTCGTGAGATAATCGATTCCATTCTTGCATGTTTTTATATCCTCGATTAATTTTGTACTTTATATGAGATTTATTTTAGCATTGTTTTCGTCAAGTTTGTGTAGGCGAGTCGCCTAGTGCCTTCAGGTGATGTAGCTTTCTAAAGTAAAAGAACACTTTTTTGACTTCGAAATTGCTCTTGGCATGCTTTATTTAGCGTCAGTTTAACTTATCTGTCATTCACAAGGTTTTCTTCGAGGTCCCAAACGAAGGGTAATGTTTACTGGCTATAGGACGATCTGTCCACATTGATGTCACAGGACGAAAACTGTTGATTATATGGCCAGGCTAGTAGCGCTGCGCCCTGTAGATGGGTGGAAAACTTTTCAACCATGACATTTGTCCGGAACCCATTGTGGTTCTACGTTATATATCTAAATGACATATTCCCGCTCTCATTCGCCCACGCATTCTCTGGCAAGCTCCAGCATGTCAATATAATCTAGCTCCGATAAGGAAGATGGACGTATTGTACGGAAAATTTGGCTACTAACAGTTAGGAAGTACGGAAGTCTTACGAGTCAATTTTTCGCCCGTGCTATGTCTCGAGATTGTGGCGTTAGGATAACCGACTGTGCGAATTTGAGGCTATTTCTTATGGCTCTTGAACAAGTCCTGGCTGCGTAGTGCAGTAAAGAATTTAAGTTTTCAGGCCACCGAGTGACATATTGCGGCATCATCGACCCTCTTTCCTGTTCTTTCCCGTTAATAATTCGGGTCTGTTTATGAAATAAAATTCGAACAACAGTGTGTGGCTTCAGTTAATAATCTTAGCTGATAGGGAGAAGGAAAGTAACGATCAATTTCAGGAAAAAGTGAGCCTGTCTATCTGAAGTTTCTGATTTATGCTGGGGTTCGGTCCCAGAGAATGAGGGTCTGTCAGTCAACCCATCAAATTACCCAATGTCCCGACAGAAATTATTTGCGGTTCGAAGGCCACAGACCTAAAAGCAGCCGCGCATCCTTCGTCTCACAAGTGGTTAACGAGCCTTGTGAAAACTTATTAGTGTGTTGGAGCAAGCTCGGAGGAATTAAGACGATAAAGGGTGGGTTTCCACCCTGGAGGACTTGGAGGAGCGCACACCTCTTAAACCCTTGTCAAACTTTGATTGGGACGGCGACCCTTTTTAAAGTACCATCTGTCTTCTTAAAGCACAAGGCAGCCAGTTGGTGAGGCTTTTGATTTATCCTGATTTCCACAACCTGATTCCCGTGAGGTGTCGGCTGCTCAGCATGCTTGCCGATTTGACTCGAGGTTTAACATGCCCGCGCGTTCAACCGGCTGCGTGGCAGCAACCCGATCAAGAGAGTGGTGACGTTGTATCGAAAGAGCACCAGCACTGCATGGGCAGGTAGCGATGACTATCTTTTCCCACAGTCGCATGTTCCGTTGAAAAAAAAAACAACTTGAGGTTATCGCGGTTGCTGCGGCTGACTGGACGCGGAAGCGCCTTCTGTGCGTGTTGATCCTAATGTACACGCGAGCTGGACTTCTGTATCCATTCTCCCATTAGAAATGGTTCACATAGTAGTGGGTAGCCACTGCAGCTTGACGGTCAGTTTAGAAACCCGTGACACACCACGAGGTGGCAGCCCTGAAAGTCACGACTACTAGCACGTTGCGGCAGTTTGAGTGTGCCTGTGAGCTCGTGTATTGAGAAGGCACTGGCTTGAACGCGCTCCTTGTCTCTCTTTGTGTACTTTTGGCCATCCGAATGAAGGCAACTGGGTATGAAGTTGATCGTAGTAACTTCTGTCGCAGAAATTATCCGCCTAAGCCTTCTTAGCATGTCCTGGTTTCCCACACGCAAGGACCGGACTTTGGCTGGAAACGTTCTGGAAGTTGCTGCTATAGAGGCCACGATAAGGAGGCGTCGCAGTATCAGTAATAGCCCGGAGGAGGCCCGATTTACTCATGCGTTGGCAGTTGGCGCTTGGTTATTCAAAAACGCCCGATCTTCACTTCGGGACCATGCCCCCTCTTCCGTCCAAGCCTGCGTAACTGCGGTGTCCGGGGTCAGGCCGGTTTTATGTGGGGTGAAAGACGGTGGCCGACCTGCTATGCGCCTTTATCGCATGTTATTACGGCGATGTCACCAAAACTTGGTTCTAACGCTGCGATAAAGTTTGTTTTGCACAAGCTAAACACTTCAACCGTCGATTCCAACGATGTCCGCCCTGTGCTAAACAGCAAGGTGCAGCAGGCGCGGTGACTTGCGCGTGGACTAGTTTATAGTGATAGTGGACTTGCGCACCATCTACCTCGCACACCTTCCCCACCTGGACTCGGTGCCAAGACAGAATCAAGGATACCGTAAACTTTGGAGGGCGCACGTTGATGGCACGGTCGGGCTCGCACCTAGGTGTACTACCACACCCCCTGGCACGCAACATACACTTGACCAGACTTTTTCATCAACAACAACAACAACAACAGCACCCCAACAGGGGTCAGAAGGATGAAGATGTCTGGTCTGCAATGCCCACCACCTGTATACCCAGTGGAAGGGCAAGTGAATTCACCGACAGAAAACCAGGTGTCCGGGAACTGCCAGCGCGTATCAGCCTGCGAGGGCCTTGGTTTACTGATGCTGGCATTGCACACGCTTTCAGATACTGTAAAAACAAAGGTTACCATAACTGAGAGGTACGAATCGACTCGGGCGGGCACCAATAAGTCTGTAGTATGTTCTTTCTGAGTGCTCCGGGCCCTTGCCATTCAGTTTATTATCAATACCACTAGAGATCGGACCATGTAATCGAATAAACCAGAAAGCTAGACGATTTATCCACCGGGACGAATATAAATTCGATCCTTACGAAGGAGTGGGATTTGATGAAACTTAGGTGTGACAGCATTGGTTTCCCGACGAGGAATAGTGATTCTTGCTGGATGCTTGCGATCCTTTGTTAGGGTGTGGGAGCAGGTCTGTGAAGAACTAATTTGGGAGGGATTGAATACTCCAATAATGGCTGTTGTCGCGGTCTGGCTTGTCTTTTTTGTATCACCAGTCGTGCACTAGTATCTTTCTCCCGACGATGAGCGCTTATTGGGATTGGTCCATAGGTCGTGTGTGGGCAGGTCTCACCATTTTATCCTGACTGCGGATCAGATTATGAACTCCCCTTGTACTTCCCCGGCACGGCCGCAGTTAGGCAGGTATGAAGAGGGGTGAGGCGGAACCTAGGAGGATGATACGACTTTGCCCCTCCTCTCGCCACCACTAATGATGCAGGTGTTAGTCCGATGTCAATGAGCCTAGTCTCTGTCGCATTATGATGTATGGTTTCGCAGTCGAACATCTCGAAGCACCTACAGGTTATGGCCTCTGTTCTGCAGAAGGAAAGACTTGCGAGGCGCAAACTACCCAGTAGGGACCTTGAACACAATGCTTTATGACAGCTGTGCTCTCCGGTCGCTGGATTTTTTCAGCTGCTTCAGACAACATGGGTTACAAATTCCACAGTTGATGGTACATAGTGTAATTTCATTCGTGGGAAATTCGTGCGCGACGAGCTTCGGACTGTTGGCAGGTGGAAGACATTCTCCGTACAGGGGTAGCAACGTACGAGCAGTAACATTTTTTGTGCAAATGCGTCCAAGACGAACTGGCGTCATAACGCCTGAGGTATATGGACTCCTGTTAGCACAGCTGTGGGCAGGCGGGGTGTGAAACGGTTTATCAAGTAGATGACGAGAGTTCTGCTTGGCGGCTGCCACCGACGTCTACAGAAATACACGACTAAGGTCAGGCAGATAAAGGGGAGCGTCTCACTTCGCGTGATTCCATCGTTGATGACCTTGAGGAACATAATCGCTGTGCCGGGTGCATCACAGACAAGTCAAGAAGAGGGAAATTCTTAAAAAAACTGACTAAGTTGCAGTTAGCAGACACGGAAAGTTCGAACTTGGTCCAAAGTCTCCCATCTAAACACCTAACAGATCTACAACTGCGGGTGTTACGCCATGAATCTTTTTTAAACACTGCTGATGCCGATCTGATAGGGTTCATTGCAGCCCTCGAATCGGTGCCTATGTCAACTAGAACAACTGACAGCGAGAATCACTCCGTCCGGCAACGCGTTACCTCCATGTCGGCGGCGTTCAGGCCAAGAGAGGGAGAGAGCTATGAAAAAACGCGGAAGCGACAGACAGATGCTATGGTTTGTCGAGAAGCAAGAGACCAAGCGTTCTGCTGCGGAAACTTGTTGGCATAGAAGGCAGGCCACCTATAATTTGACAAAATGGATGCATTTGAAGCTGAGATTTCTCCAAGCAAGTTCTACTACCTTACTCCGACCCACCTCCAAATACCTTGTTGGTCTCTGAGGTCGAATGGTTCAATCACGGCCTCTTCGAACGTGACGTCGTTATTCCCATCAGACCCGACGAATTTGGCGTGTAGTCTGGCGTAACAAACTTGAGCAGCCATATGACGAAAGCCAGAGCCCTTTCATGATTAAGCATCTCATAAAGCCGTCAGAAATTTGCCCCACATGTCCGGAGGGAACTTGCGTGCAGACCAAGGGAGCTCCAATGGGCTAACCAGTCTCCGGTTGAGTGCAAGAAATGGTTCTACAGCAGGCGTTAAGATGCTGATGTGGCATCGACCTGTGCCAACGAAGGCAGAACTGATGTGATAATCAATATAAATAAGCCCTTCATGGTTTTAAGCAGACCTGTCATTTAGAGATCGCGCATGATAGTAGCCGGTGGTAAGCCTAACACTCCGCCCTGCAAAGCAGATGAGGAAGTGGAACAACATGCGTCTTCGGTGCCTAGCACATAAAACATTCATTTTTGTAGACAATTCGGGAGACAGAATGGCTTGGCCAGCCAAATAAGTTGTCA